GGTATATGGTTGTTCATTATTTTTGTTATTTTCTCGCCTGGTCCATTATACTCCTGCTATGAGTGAAACCACATCCTTGGATATTTAACAAACATGCATTGAGCATCTTACGTGTGTCACCACTGTACTAAGTGCTGTCCCGCCCAAGATGCCCAAAGCAGACCTGTTCTTGCTGATTAGAAACTTAGAAATTGCAAACTCATCTCCTGAGGCACTTTCCCTGGAAACCTAGAGATACTCCCAATCTTCCAGTATTGTGAGTAATGTGAGACCATTACTTGCCCATCTTCTGCGGAGAGAATTTGTTTTGCTTGTTTTCTACACTCTGATAGGAGACAAATTAATCTTGAAATTCTGTCTGAAAGATAATGAACTAATATCTGTGATTATGAGTGTAGGGTCATTAGATCTTACTGAAGCCTCTGGAGACAAGAGTAACTGGAAGGGGGGATTTGATAATTCCATTTAATAAAAAGTAATATATAGAGAAGCTAAAATGTATAATAAAGTCTCATATTTGGAAACAAACGTGGTACTCCTTCATTCCAGTTCTTGGATATACCTTTGTTCATGAGCCTTTAAACCTGAGCTCTTTGGCAACCTTATTCCCGCCACGTTGGTCCTTTCCAATGCCATCCCTTCTCCTTCAGAATTATCTTTTACTAGTGAAATCAGATTTCCTTCTGCACTCATTTACTCATAAGAGTGTCCTTTCTGGCCTCCTTGGTGGTGCAAGGGGTTAAGTCTCAGCACTATGAAGCTATTGGCAGCCACTGCAGCATGAGTTTGATCCCCAGCCAGGGAGCTGACCCACATGGCACAGCAAACCTCTCCTGTCTCGCCCACAGCTCTCCTCGGCAGTGTTCTGCTCCCACCTCTGTCTCTGGTGAATCTTCTCACCACCCCACACGTGTGCCCAGTTCTTGCATGCATAAATTAATAAATCTTAAAAAAAATAAAACAAGTTTCCTTTCTCAGGAAAAAGATAAATACCAGATGACTTCATTTGCATGTGGACTATAGAGAAACCAAACAAAAGGTGCAGAGAAAGTCAAAACTAGCAAGCTGAGCACAGAACAGAGGAGCACAGCAAAGAAGGGGGGAGGGAAGGGAACCAACCAGGAGACTATGGTGATGGTTCGCTGTGATGGGGGGGGCAGAACAATTATGGGACTGCAGTGATGTAAGAAAATTTTTTTTAGTTATTTCACTAATAATAAAAATGAAAGAGTTTCCCTTCTTAGTACCCTTAGAGACAAATTCCAGCTACCTAGAAAGACAACTAACTCACACAGTGACTCCATCCTGTTCGTTGAGTCTCTTCTTTCCTTCCCACTCTGCAATGCAGCCACAGTCATTGTTTGCCCTTTGCTATTTACAATCACCCTCACTCAATCTTTCCACCTTTGAGCTCAGCATTCGAGGATCAGCCATGTCACTTTCTCTGTAGAGTTCCTTGACTCTGAGCCTCCCCACTCCATCCCCGAAAATGTTGTCCTCCTTTGTCTCTGTGTCAACTTCCAGCCATTTTATCCTCAGAATTGCACTATAATTGTGTGTATGTAGGTGAGAACGTTCTAGTCCAATAGTTAAGCTGCTGATCTCTAGAACCAGACTCACCTGTAGGTAAGTATTGTAATCACACCTATTTCATAGAGTTATCATGAAGACTCAGTGTTGCAAAGATTATCCATAGAAAGCACATTGTCATTTTTCAAGGTGGAAGGGAAGGGATGATAGAAGGGAACTTTTGTTCACTGATCTATCCCTGAGGGCCTAGATCAGCTCTTGCCACTAGGAAAATTTCAAATAGGCCTTGCCTGGATGAATGAATGATTTTGCCAAGTATTTTTCTGGTCTCAAGATAAACAGCCTTGAATAAGATAGGCAAGGTCCCTCTCTTGAGTTTACTGTAAGCTTTAGATTTGACTTTAGAACAAGTATGCAGATATTTTCCCTAGTAGTATGTGCTGTGATAAATGTAAACAAGCAAATAGGCTAGAGAGTAGGAGGGACAGATGAGTAGTATCACATGAAGTGGGCCCAGCCATTCAAAAGGCCTCTCTGAGGACTTCAGCAAAGACGCAGAACTCTGAGAGAATAAGTTTTGCATAGCATCACCCCACTGTCTCTGGGGACTCTGGGGATGTCCACCTTCCCCATGGTTGGGGAGCGTCCTGCAAGATGGACTCCAACCTGTAATGCTTTATAAACACAGTGGCTAGCTGATAGTCGGGCTCTTCATAATTATCTGTTGATTAAACGAAGGAATTCTCTTAAAGTCTGCTGCCTGCCTTCTCATTTGGGAATGAAGGCAGTGGACTCTGCCTCGATTTACCTTTTCTCCTTGCCTGTTCTGCCTTCCTGAAGTGTAGGCCAGAGAATCCACCTGACTCCTCATCCTATCAGTCCTCTGCTATCCTGAACTCTAACATTTGGTGGTCACATTTCTTCCCAGATCCCAACATTTCCATGTCCTCTTGCTAGTTAAAACTGAGTCAGAGCAATTGAAATGGCCTAAATGAAAAAAAAAATCAATAATGATTGTAATTTTCATAAGTTCATTTACTTTGATGGATTTTAAATATATGAGACACTCACTTTAGGCTCCTTTTTATGTTGACAACATATCATCTAAATATCCATATCCCACTACTGTCCTTTAGTGAACTTGTAAACTTGCGTTATGATTTATA